CATCATAACCTCATTCTGAAACACTGGTAAACAGTCTTTAAGAGAAGTAAGAAAATAATAGGCAGTCTAGAGGAAAAGAGCTGAAGTTATAATCAATGGATCTCTGGTAAAGTAGTAAAATAGTTGGATATTTGGCCCCACACAGGAAGAGACTTTGGTTGTCATTTACATGCATGGGTACATCTAGGTACTGTTTACTCACTTCAAAAGCTCATAAAACAGTCCTCTTCAGGATGAACTCTAGAAGGAGTACAGTAAATAGACAGTATAAAATATTAAGTCTGTTTATCAACATTTGTCTCTATGGTTTCAAATAGGATTTGTTGATGCTAAGCTCTGAGATAGGGGTGACCTGCACTGATGTTTTCAGAGAGCCCCAAGTCATACCAAAAGAGGCATACAGTTTTTCATTCCAAGGGATTTGTTGCCCCTTCCAAATAACCAACTTCACATAATAACAACTATTCTTATTTGGTTCTAAGATTTGAGTATAGTGAGTGCTATAGTCCTGATACAGTCTACTTATAGATCTGATAAATAGAGACACATTTTCCTTTGCAAGATAATAGAAGGAAACTAGAAGGGAAGAGAATCAACACTGAATGCCTACTACACATATGAGCTGGAGATAAAATATAGAATTACATGAAACCAAGGATGTAGATGGGGTTATGGAAAAAGACCACAAAGACAGAATGGCTCCAAGAATGTATCTGTTATGAACTCTGATGTCAGTGATCAAGAAGAGGATCATGAACTTGAAAAGGAGATTAAGAAAGAGTCAGACATACAGAAGCAAAACTGGGTGAGGATGACATTCTAGACAACCAAGGGAAGAGAGTACTGGAAAAGAGGAGTGATCACTGGTGTCGCACGCGGCTGGAAGCTCAAGGAAAGGGACTGGAAGGCATCCTGAGTTTGCTGGAAACTGAAATAGTAAATGTTTCAGGGGCTGATGACAGAATTCAAACTCGAGTGGGCAAGGGTGGAGTGAGGAAACTGACCAGGAGTACAGGCAATGCTTTGGGGCAACTTAGCTCCAAAGAGAAGGAAAAATACAGGGAGGTAGTAGGAAAGGGGGATGAAGTCAGTTGGCACGTGAAGGGATGTGGGGTTTAAACCGAGCCTGACTTTAAGAGTGAATTCTATAAATTAATGCTTCTGGACCACCCTATGCGGTGCTTTCTCTGAGTTTGCATGCTAATCCATAAATTCTTTCTTCGTATTTTCACTCGAAACTACTTACATGAGGTTAAGCTACAGAAGAAAGTTCTGGAAATTTTGAGGATTTCATGGCAAAGTCTAAACTATCCCTTAGGTTTGTGTTGAGCTTTAAGGTCTTCAGAGACTGGCATTCCCATGGTCTATTTTCATCCTTATAATACTTGGAAAACGAGTTAAGCAGGGTGGTATGATTGTAATTTTATGGGTGAGGAAACTGAGTCATCAAGAGATTTATGGCAGAATCGGTACAAGAAGCCACAACCTCTGATTCCCAGTCCAGTGTTCTTGCTATTCCCTGAGAAGGCCGGCAGGTGATAGATGATGGACAACTTCTGCTTAACCCTAGAACGATCCCCTCCAAAAAAAATCCTCCTCTTTTATGATCATCTGTAATAGCAGTAGAAGTTGTGGTAGTGGTGGTTGTTATTGTCATTGTACAGTTTATGAAATCTTTCCAAATGCTCAAATTCTTGGAGTTACCCACAGCTGGCTCTCTCCCCTCTACTGGGCTCTCTATCCCACGTCAGTTAAGGAAACTAAGGTTCACACAACAATGCATGTGAAAGCTGGGATTTGAATCCAGATCTTGGAATTTTGTATTTGCACTCTTTTCTGTGGGTTAGAGGTTTATAAATGCTGGAACTCCTCGAGAATCTGATAAAAGCTATGGCCTCTCTTTCCAGAAATATACACATAAATATGTAATCAACAAAACTCTGCACACAATTAGTGGTTCACTGATGATCTGAGGTTAGGCATCCCTCCTCTAGGTTATGTGGACTCTAAGCCAACTAAAATGCTAATTATTGGTGAAGTGGTGTGATCCCTCTGGTACAATGGTAATGACCTCGTACCAGAGACTCCTAGAAGGGAAAAACATACTGAGACTCTTGGTCGGGGTCAAACCCCCTCTATACCCTGACAACACGGTGTTTATATTCCAGTCAGTATGCGCTTCCTTCTGCGCTGTGCGGGTGTGCCTTGCCATGATTGCATGTCCCTTGGTGGAAAGGAAATGTCTAATACAAGTGACTACAACACCTTTTATCACTATCTCTATCATTTACTGAATACCTATTACAGCTCAGCAACTGTCGTTGTATCCCAGACACTATTCAAATTCATTTCATCTTCTCAACAACCTAATGAGGTGCTTACTGTTATTTTCCTGTAGAGTAAGTATGAAGGCACAGTGAGGTTAAATAAGTTGTGAGGGTGACAAGCTCCTAAGGGCTGAAACTGAGATAGGCAATTTGGCTCCAGAATCTATGATAATAACCTTCACCTTAGACTTTCTCCCTTTTGCCAGGTACTAGCTACACTAATGGAACTTCTCTGATAATATTATAAAATACCTTATTTTGTTAAAAAGCCCAACAGCTAGCATTAATATCATGAAATTAATTTGATAATTATTCTTCAAACTTTTTTCAAAATAATTTTAGATTTACAGAAAAACTGCAAAAACAGTATGCAGACTTCCCTTATACTAATCATCTAAGAAATTAACACAAATACTATAGTATTACTAATCTCTATACTTATTTGAATGTTGACAGTTTTTCCCCACTAATGGCCTTTTTCTGGCTAAGATCAAAACCAATCCACAATCATATATTGTTTCCAGATGTAGTAGCATCTTAGTCTCTTCAAATCTGGGACAGTTCTCTAGTAATTCCTTAAATTTCATAGTCTTTGAGGCATGTTTGCTAATAATTTTGTAGAATGTTCCTCAATTTGGGTCTGCATAATGTTTCCTCATGTTTACACTGAGGTGATGCATTTTCGATTAAACATTACAAAAATGATGCTGTATTCTTCTCAGTGCATCATAAAATGAGGTCCATGTTGCTGATGTATCTTATTGCCAGTATTGTTAGTCTTGATCACTTGGGTAAGGTATTGCCTGCCAAATTTCTCCACTGTGAAGTTAAGATTTCTTCACTGTTTTTCTTTTATTTGAATAAGTATCTTACAGTAAAATACTACGGGACTATGTAAATACCCTGCTTTTTAAAAAAATTTATTTATTTTTTTATTGAAGGATAATTGCTTTACAGGTTTTTGTTGTTTTCTGTCAAACCTCAACATGAATCAGCCATGGGTATACATATATCTATTTCCTTTTGAACCTCCTTCCCATCTTTCTCCCCATCCCACCCCTCTAGGTTGTTACAGAGCCCCTGTTTGAATACCTTGCTTTGTATCAGACTCTCACTCACTAATTTTATTTATTTACTTGAAATACAGTTGATTTAAAATGTCGTGTTAGTTTCACGCATACAGCACAGTGATTCAGTTACACATATACACATATTCCTTTCCATTATGGCTTATTACAGGATATTGAAAGAAGTTCCCTATGCTATAGAGTAGCACCCTATTTATATATATATATATATATAGTAGTTTGTATCTACTAATCCCAGACTCCTAATTTAATCCTTCCCCAACTTTCCTTTTTGGCAAACATGAGTGCTAGGTGTATGCATTGCTATGAACGTGTCATTACTTCTAAGCTATCTCAGCAGAGATCACTAGAGAACAAATAAATATGTCACACCCACTCACACATGAATATATGTATCTATATTTATTTCTACCTAGATCCAGCAATATATAAACTAAAAAACCACAAGTTGATACTGATACCTCTGATTTCCATCCATTACCATACTGTTCATTCTAACTTTCTCCTTTTCTTATCCATGGGAAACCTGGTTCCCATCATCTGCAAAAAAAAAAAAATCTATTTTTCTGCTCAACTATAGTATATACATAAAGGAGTTTCAGAATAGCTAACTGATACTACAAAAAACAAACTCACTAATAACAGTATATTATTTACATAATTGTTTCTATCTTTAGCCATACAGCATACTCTCAAAATATTCTTTCTCAGAGTTACTTAGGCTAGTTTTTTTCTTTCTCAAATCCCTGTTAGTGTGATCATGTTATTATTAATACAATAGGTTCCTTTTCTTTCTTTTTTTTTTTACTATTTGCATTTCACCCCCATCACACACATCTATCCAAGTATCTATCTATCCATCCATCCATCCCCCATCCATCTATCTATTACTTATTTTCAGAGGGACATGAAGCATCATCATGATTCTAAGAGTCAGAGCTATATAAGAAGGCATGCTCAAAGAAGTGCTGTTCCCTCCCACTACCCTGTTCCCATTTCCCCATTATTTCCATCGCATTCCTACCCACACCCCGCTATAGTTAATAACTTCACTAGTTTCTGATTTAACTTTCCTATACTTCTTTTCCTATACTTATTTTCTTATATCACCTTCTTTCTACATAAAAAAGAGTATACTGCAAAACTCCTTTATACTCTGCTTTCTTCCCTTAACAATATATTCTAGAAACCACTCCTAGCAGTTGCTATCCTGTTTCATAGATGAAAAGACAGGCTTAGAGAGATCGAATAACTTACCCAAGGTCACACAGTTAAGAAGCAGAAAAACTGTTTGAATCCAAGAAGTTCTGACTCCAAAATCCACGCACCCTCTTCTACATCAGAGCATTTCAACCATGGTCACTAGAATATTTTATGGGGACGTCTAGGTTCTTTGTGAGTTATCGCAGGCTGTTTTGAAAATGAATACATGTATGTTCTGAATCACCCAGATGACTATCTTATAACCAAGAACTGCCAGGCATTTTCATTGCTCACAGAATCTGAAAATCATGCAGCCGCCTAAAGTCAGCGCCACCAGTGCAGCTGGGCGGGGAAAGTTGTAGGGAACAGAGAGAGCCATTACCTGGCTGTGGCCTTGGCTTGGAGTTCAGGGAAGGCAGCGTGGCCCTGCACCATGTGGTCTATCTGAAAAACAAGAGAGAGGGGTCAGTTTTATAGCTTCTCTAGTTTATGTTTAAGCCAGAGGAAGATATATTAAAATGTCTGTTTCTTTCAATTCCTTGTCTACAGAGGAGCCAAGAATGCTAAAAAGCTAACTCAGCAAGAGTGTCTCAGCTCTTTTAGAAATCTAGCTTTGTTTAACTAACTGCTGGCTTCTTGGATTTATAAAACAAAGAAGTTTAAAGAGAAGAACAGTAGGAAATGAAACTCCCAAGGCTGAACTGGTAGCAGCAGGTAGTGTCAGATCTAAGAGTGAGGTTTGATAGAGGTGTGAGAAGGAGTCATAACTCAGATAACTCAGGGTAAGTGTTTGGGATTGGGGAGGGGGATTCGGGTATTAAAAACACTGACCTCGGGGTTACATTATCTGCCCCTCCTCCTGTTACCCCATGCTATCACTGCAGGGCAATGCCAGACCTTGAATTACTCTCTGCATCTTCCTAATGGAAAAGCTGAGTGAAAGGGACTGTGAGGAGGGAGTCTGAGTTTAAAAAAGCACCAAAGAGTTGCCCCAGAGCTGTCAAGAGAACCTCTCCTGACACAGAAGTTATCCTGTGGGAAAGTGGGACAGAGCTTTCCAAGGACAGAAATGCCTGAGCTCTGTGGGCAATGGTCTCCTCATTTGAAATTCCATGCCTAGGATTAACCCTTAATCCACTTGGTGGCTCTAAACAAAATAATATGTGCTAAGTATCAGGAAGGGATGTGTTTCTCCACGCTGTGACTGCTTGCTAAAACACACCCAACGCCCGGCTTGAGTTCCTGAACCTAATCTGTGTATTTTCTCAGTGTTTACATGAGTCTCCAAAACAACCATGCTGACCTATTTATTTTCATTCAAACTACGAACAGACCAGTTACTGTGGCCTCATGGAGATAGTTTCTCTGAGCATGCCTTTGGAGAGTCAGGACTGTGTAAAGAGAAAGAAGCTCTGTTCTGGAGTTGCCAAGGCTGGGTCTGGGGTTCTGGCTCCAATAGAAACTAGTTGTGTGACTTTGTGCAAGTCATTTTACTGCTCTGAGCCTCAGTAAGCTCCTCTCTCCCTTTTCCTATCCTAGTATTCTTTTAAAACAGGGTTTCTAGGACACAGAGTGTGCTTACCACAATGCCAACAACAGTATAAATGATACCACCTAAAATTTATTGACTCATTTACTATATACCAATACTAAGCTATGCATTTTTACATACATTATCTCATTTATCCTTACAACACTTCTGTGAAGAAGATACTATTATTCACCATGGAGGTGAAAAAACTAGAAGAGATTAAGTATCTTGCCTAGGGTCATAGGGAATAAGTGGCAGATTTAGGTTTCAGACCTAGGTCTCTCTATTTAAAGTCTCTGGTCTTCAGTACTATGTCACATCGTCTCCTGAACTTCTAGGTATAAGGTGTTAAATTCTATTTGTGTTGAGCTGCAAAAATGTTTTAAAATAACACCAAAGCAAGTGGTCATTTCAATGGAAAGAAAGTCATTCAGGTTTTGAATGTTTACTTCCTGAAGGTCCAATTTTCGGTTACTTTAATGAGGCACAATCTGAGCCTTAAAGAGTTTGCAATCTAGTAGGAACATCACAATGAACCCACTGGCATCAATAATGGATAATTAAAGCCATTACTTGATTTGATGCTAATTTCTATGGGAAGTGCTTTAGGAGGTCAGAGAAAGGGGATTTAGATGAGCTTCTCAGAGGAACCACAGAGCCTAGCATGTGAACCACATGCATGAATGCAGTTATTGGCATTTGCCAACTGCCTACCTCACCAGGTACTATGACTAGGTTCTGGGATAGAGTGGAAAAAAGAAACACATATAATGCATAGTAGCAAAAGGAAAGAAGTAAAGGACAAGCAGTTTGGAGGAGTAAAGGGCTGCAGGCAAGGGATGCCAGAAAGTAGGCTGTGATGAGCAGAGATATGAAGATGGAAAGACAAGTCTGGTATAGACAGCAGGAGATTGGTCTAGCCTCGAGACTGGCAATTATAGATGCTCAATAAATATCCACTGAATAAATGTGGGACGTATGAACCATAATGGGCCAAATGCTCACAGAATACCATGTACTTCTTGGGAACACTTACCACCCTTTATATTTGTATCTGTCTGTGTGGGGCACTCATGGTCAGAGAGTAACTGTATACTAAATTAGAGAATAAATGAAGTGGTGAAAATATGGGTACATGAGGAGGGTGTGAACTGCCAGAGGTTCTTAAAAGTCAGATAAGTGACTATAGTTTCACTGAATTATAGGCTGTAGGAAATTATTTTGATTTGTGGAGCAAAATAATGACAAATTAAGGAAAATTAACCTAGCAGGGTAGGCACAACGGGTAGGAAAACACAGACAGGATTCAGAGGCTGATGTTGGGAATACAAGGCATGAATATTCCCTGCCTTTGCTCTATTGTAGCATTCATCAAGTTAATCAAGTTCTTCTCAATTATTAGTTTATATGTCTATCTCTTACCTTACCCTCTGAGCTCTTTTAAACCAAAAGCCTTGTAATTTCCCATTCTTCAGTGCCTGCAATAATGCCTGGCATCTCGAATGGATGAACAAGATACATTTTGAAGGAAATAAAACAAACTTGAAAGAAAGTGAAGTTGCTTAGTCATGTTGCTTTGCAACCCCATGGACTGTAGCCTACCAGGCTCCTCCGTCCATGGGATTTTCTAGGCAAGAGTATTGGAGTGGGTTGCCATTTCCTTCTCCAGTTGATCTTCCCGACCCAGGGATCGAACCCAGGTCTCCCACATTGCAGGCAGATGCTTTACTGTCTGAGCCACCAAACTTAGTGACTGAATCATTACAGAATATAAGAAAATTAGAGTGAAAAGATGCTTTGGACTCTTGGGTCTAAGTAAAGGAAATGTGGTTACTGTAATCACATCTTTTTATTTTCTGTATTTATGATGCTTTGGGATCTGGGGCCCTGGTAACCCTGGAGAGACTGTTCCTTCCATGGTTAGCCAATTCCCAGGGATAGTGAAGGACTCACTGGCCTGTGAGCATTGTCTTTCATATGCAAAGTAACTGATCCAGAGCCCACCTCCTCACCAACCCCTCTATGGGCCACTATGTTCCTGCTGTAATCACCCCAGAGTCAGGAACAAGACAACTCGAGACGACCCTAGCATTTCCTGTGTGGCCCTGCATGGTGTGGCCAGCCTTGTCTTTCAGAGAACCGGGAATAACAAGCTATCCTTTTAAAGGTAATTGTCTCCTGATCTGCGGGCTTCCAGGGCTTTTCAGGTGGCACTAGTGGTAAAGAACCTGCCTGCAGGAGACATAAGAGATGTGGGTTTGATCCCTGGGATGGGAAGATCCCCTGGAGGAGGGCATGGCAATCCACTCCAGGATTCTTGCCTGGAGAATCCCATGAGCAGAGCAAACTGGCCAGCTACAACAGAGTTGCAAAGACCAACTGAAGCGATTGAGCATGCACAGGCACGCAGTGCAGGCTTCGTCAAACCTGAATAATAATAAAATCTATATTTTAAAACAGCAGCTGAAACATGGGCCTCGGGAAAAGGCTTAGGTTCAAACTCATGGTCTAAACTTAGTATCCTCTGCCATCTAAGTTACTTGACCTCACAAAGCCTCTTCTCTTGGACCTCTAGAATGTGGATAGGAAAATTTGCTTTGCAGGCAAGATTGTGGTGAGTGATATAGAGACGGTTTTCAGATCATAACACCTATTATTAAAAAGAAGGAGGTACCACCCAAATAGGAAAAATGGCTGGAAGAACAGGATTTAAAAGGTCAGCTGCAGTTTCATTTTTCCACAGCATCGATGGTAAAGACCCACCCTGATTAACAAACAAGGGGCCAGTCTGTCGAATAATTGAGCACTCATTTCAAAAGCCTGGAGTGCCTGTTCCAAGGGCTGATCTTTCTATATATGTTCTATCCTCTAGCATTTAGCACAGTATAGCAGATCACAGAGTCCCATTAGTGGTTATTTGTCTCCCAATGAAATAACCAGTTTTACCACAATAACTATATTTGCCAAGTGGTTGCCATAGAAATATATAGACAGAACTACCCTAACTCTATGACTCTTTTCTTGTTTCTTCCATCTTCTCAGATTTCAGCTCTGAGAGCCGGCAGCTGTAGGAGTAGGCAGAAAAGACTATGAACTATTTGGAGAGGTAGGAAGCTTACACTGGCTGGGTGGAGTCACATCTTCAGGATGGCTTTCAGGTCAGGATCAAGAGGAAAAAGGCCATCTTACAATACACAAGTAGAATTTTTGTTTCTTTTTTGCATTTCCTTATAAAGGTGGAATATAAGAAAAATAGAAATGCAATACAATAGAAAACAGAGATCATACATGTGTAGTATGAGGTGACATCTGGCCCACAGATGTACTTTATTTGGGATATATAATGTTTTTAAAAATGAGCCAATGTTTTCGAATTGAGAGATGTCGCTTTCAGTCCAGATTTTGGTTTCTCTTGAAGAAGCGGTGAATATAAAACACTGGGTCACCCAGATTCCCCATGGCAAGAGTCAGCTGGAGCTGAGTGGGGACTGATCGCCTCAGACAGGCCTGCACCCTCCACTTTGTGAGAGGCGCCACCACTCAATTTATCATCATGATGGCACTAATGCTTTACTCGGAGTAGAGATTTATTTCTCTATGCCCATCTCTCAGTCAAAGGAGGGAACATGGAATTCAGCCCAAGAGTACTGTAAGCTGAAAAGAGAAACTGCTCTGGAGAAGTGAAAAATATCTCTTGCCTGGTCTGTTTGTTCATTTACGCTATCTAACTCTTTAAGCACTGCAGTTTTTGACCCTTGGTATGGCAGAGAGAGAGCACAGTCAAGAACTCTTGAGATCTGAGCTCTGCTCTGGCTCAGGGCATGACCTTGGACAAGGCCATTTCTAATTCTCTCTCTAAAACATTTAATAAGTTAATATGCCAGAAAGGCAAGAGCTTGTAAAATTACAGAGA